TATATATATATATATAAATGAATGAAATAATAAAAGATAAACAAAAAAAACACTGAATTATTTTTCAAGTAAGTCAAGAGAGAGATGAATGAAGTAATGCAGCAAAATAATGAAATTAAAAACAACAAGATCAAGTAACCTAAAATTAATTCTATTTTCACTTCTCTCTGATCCTACTGAGTGTGTTTTTATTTTATAGGATATTTTAAACCATAAACAATAATACCATTTGGCTATCAAAAATCTTTTCTCTCCACTAACAATAAACAACAATTCGTATTTAACGTGTTTTTTTTTTCTGAATCATTCGACAAAATCTTCTTAAATAAATGATCCGAAAATCCTTTTCGAAAACTTCCACGAGACAAATGTAGTCTGCTTTCCTAAGCTGTGGGGTCTTTCCATTCTTTATCCATAAGCTGTTTTATTCCGTTGAAAGTTGATAATGATCTTTTCTTTGGGAACGCTGAACATTAATCTAGATTTTACCGGAATACCTGTTTTGTTGAAGCTTTTACATCCTGTAGAAATAAATTCACACATTTTTCTGTCGATTAAGCGTCTTGTAGTCGCTGTAATCAACTGTTTTTGACAGTAAAATCCTCTCTCCTAAACGCGAGCAGCTGGTCTACAAAATCACTCTCACAACGAATACTTATTCATTAATTCTCGTTCGAATTAATTCSTTTTCATACAGAGTAACACCTCCGGTCTAAGGGACAATAATTTTAAAGAGCTCTCGAAACACAACCGACTGCGCCAAAGAAAAGAAGCTTCAACATTCAACATCATTTTTCAACCCGCTCTTCGTCCAGAATATTTTGTATCTTCGCTCATTTATTTGTTGGTTGACTTATTGCGAGAGTGTAAATGTTGTCTAATAGACACTGACGTTAGTATTTAACGACCTGAACATTTTACTGGACGATTGAAAAACACACGTATTGACATATTTAAAAACAGCGAAAACTTTGGTCAAGCTAGCCTTGAAAAAAAACACAGAATGGAAAGTCTTTCAGACGTTTATGGGTAAATATGATTTTTTTCTATTTATCCTCGCGATGGGGAAATTTTTTTCAACTTGTTTTGTGTAGTATAGAATACTCTGMGATAGCATAACTACGTTGATTCATACTGTTGATAATCTTGAMTCCTCAATTTACCGCAACTGCTACCTCGGTTTTCAAATTATCTTTATRAGCAAACTCAATTAGGAATGAGTAATTTTGTTTTTTATCTTATTTTTCGGCATAATTTTGGTCTAATTTTTGGTATTAGAACCGAAAACCTAGTTTTTGAGAAATTTAGAAAAATTTATCGGAAGAAGTTGGCTTTAGGGCGTGAAATGGTTGGACGTTATTTCCGCTTTTAAAACCAAAACTTATTCTATTATTTTCTTTATTTTTCTTATCGTTTCTTTGTTCTTTTTTCTTTTCAGAATGGATGACGAGCATAAGCTTATTTCGCGGTATGCAGCAAGGTAAGAACGAATCCTCAATCRCTTATTTTCAAGAGAAAAACGAAGTCTCCGAGACTAATTCACGGCAGGAAGGCTACGCTAATGACTCAGCTAATAAATGTTTCTTCAATCTGTTCCCCTGTCGAGATATACAAATGTACTTGGCTTATAGTTATGTCCACCATAATATTATTTCTTATTTTTCTTTAAGTCACGAACTTATTCAACTCTGAACTCCGAGCAACGGCAATTTATTCTAACTGCGGTTGCAATGCCGTCGAAGTGTTAAAAACACATTTCTGTAGTAACTTTTTAAAAGATAGRTGTGAGTTCAAAATTAGAAATAGAGGTGGCCGAAGCTTAATAATATCATGGCTTCAAAAATCAAAGATAACTTGTGGTTTTCTTAAACACTGCGTTTATAATTGTCTCATGACTATAAAACCAAGTTACTAATTTAATCGTTTTTACTATTTCTTGGACAGCCAGTGAAGAAACGCTAATTTTCTCTGCGCATTAACGACAAATCCGCAACCATCTTAGAACTTTATTGAGGACTAGCGAAAATCATWAGATTTGTAAAGATTTCTCTCGTCGAACCTTTGTGATAATTATCTATTTGCTTGCTCAAATGATATTAAATTATTGTTGCTGAAAAAAAAAAAAATTGAAAATAGACAAACATACAAAAAAGGGTATTTTTAAAAGTTACTTTTGGGTGCGCCACGATTTAGTTTTGCAAAAATCGTTCGAAAATATTAGAAAACTCCTTCAATTGTTCTTGATTTTAAAAAAAACAACACTATTTTCTAATTCCTCGAGGTTTTTAAATAATAAATATTTTATGATGTAAGTTGAGGTATATAGGCAGCAGATATTTTTTATTAAACTGAACAGTTTGAAAAGATGAGTATGGCTCCCTTAGAAGCGAACGCTCTAGTTGAGTGTTTTCACGTGCGACTCAAGATTTCGTGTTTTCAGTTGCAGCTGATGCTTTGCAGATGAGTGGAGAWGAGAAGACAAGATAGCTATGAATTAGCGCTCAAATCGAATCAAAACCAATACTTATTCTGTATAATACCAACAGTCTAATCTTCGAATAATACCTAATTGACTATCCAACACTTTTAGAGTATTATTCAATGACTTGTCTATCGTATATATTGTTGGAAACTAGTACAATATCTAATTAGGAGCCTAAGCTTGGCTCATTTCTAGTATTGGCCACACCAAACAGCATTATCAAGATAAAAAAATATAGATATCATGGGAAAAAATCCGGATTTAAAATTCCATTGGCATGGCGTCGTAGAATGTCTCACCCAAAAAAAAGGTTTGWGCAACTCGCTGGAATTCACTAATATTTTTCTAGTTTTCTTGAGAAATGAGGGATAAAATGGGAGATTCAGTTTTCTTCGCGCAGTTTACTTCAACAAATTCGCGGAGTTATAATTTCTGAATAGAATTGGACCCAACGGAGATATTTTCTTTGGAATTCGTGTCATAAAAAGAATAAGAAGAAACAGACTATGGTCTCTTGAAAAATAGAGGGGGAAAAGATAAACAAAAAAAAAAATGGAAAGTCACTTAACTGAACGAATGTTGTTGCTTGTTCCTGATAATGTAAAGCGTAAGAAAGCTGTTAATTGGCGTAGAAAACTAGATGTTATTGCAACAGATAAAGCGCTTTGACCTAATGTATTTCCTCATTTAACGGGGTTATATGAGTCAGTCGTCATATTATAAACATTCATTCAAACGACGCCAAATAATTCTCCTTGAACYTGGTATGAGTTTTTCTTTTCGATTTCACTTTTATCAATAAAGTTATATTATCGTATAAGATAAAGAAGTTAAAATTAAGTTACAATATGAGAAGCACGTTTTTCCATAAGGTGTCTTTCTCATCAAAGTTTCATTGGAAAATTAATACTTTTCTTGAACAGAAAATAATAAACATTGTCTTTTTCCTTTTTGAACCTTTTTAATTTTTCAGCCCCTTTTGCAAGCAGTTTAGAAATAGCCAATGAAAATTAGAGTAACAAAAATGGCCTTAAAACTTTAACTAAAATAGATATTTAAAAAAAAATACTGAATGGATTAAAATCATCATTATCATTTWTTGCTTTGAATTCTACCACAATTCCATAACATTGGCGTCGTCAACTCCTGCCAATACCATACGTACTGACTTCTTCCGGTCGTATAACGATTGYTTTTGCTAGTAACTTAAAATATTAAGCTCAAATTCCGTCAAAAATTCTGACGCCAATATTTTAGAGCTTATGGACTTTTTTGTTTTGAAAATTTTGACGCATTGATGAATTCTCGGATGCTAATCAAATGTGCGCGCCATCATTTCAAGTTATGAATGTGATTTAGTCCAGTGACGTCGTGTTTTCAATGTTCAGTTGATAAGCACTCTGATATAGACAATGCTGTCATTCTTTAAAATTGCATGAAAAAATTTAATTTTTTGAGCTTAATGAAGATAGAAAGATAATGTAAACCGAGACTACATTTAAGAAATGCCACAACAATGGAATGGCAATTTTGAAGTTTTTGTGTCGGTTATCAGAGAGAAAGCTAGGATTTGTTTGTACAGTGAATATTCTAATGGCGCCTTTTAAAGTGGCGAAGATCGAAGTCTGAAATTGGGCGCCAAATGTTCTTTACTGAGTCAAAAAATACTTTTCTATACTGGGTTACCTGTGTTTTTCTATACTGGGTCACCTAACAATACTTTTCTATACTGGGTTACCTGTGTTTTTCTATACTGGGTCAACTAACAATACTTTTCTATACTAGGTTACCTGTATTTTTCTATACTGGGTCAACTAACAATACTTTTCTATACTGGGTTACCTGTGGCACCCAGTTTAACAAACCTTTTTTTGACCAGCATAAACTGGTAGCGTTTRATGAGGTATATGCAGTGCGAAGGTAAAGCGGTTGGTTGCTATGGTATCGAACGTTTCTCTGGCAACCAATACCGCTGAACACACCTTCATACATGAATACTTTTCGGATTTACCGTTTTATATATGAATAAATTCTTACTGTTCAATATGTACTGATATTTGGTTTTCTTTTCTTTCTTTTATGTGTGAAGACTCGCAGCTAATTCTGTAAGTACTTTGCGATTATCATCATGTGTCATCATCATCATAACTTCGTCGTCGTCGTATTTTTATCATTATGATTATCTTTATATCATCATTGTCGTCGTCTTCGGCGTCGTCATATTCATCATCACCACCCTTCTTCATGATCATTATCASCATCTTCGTCATCGTCAGGATCATTATCATCATCAACATCATCATCATCATGGTCGCCATCACCTTTATCATCGTCATCACCATTATTATCATCAWCACCATCGTCRCCATCGTCAGGATGATTATCAACATCATCATTATCTTCRTTATCATAACTACGATCCTTTTTTTTATTATTTTTATTTTTACTATGTAGAATGATTTTTAATGTCATGTATATTAATCASTCCAATGTGTGGCTTGTTTCAGCGTCAAAAGCCGCCTTCCAAGTCATCCAGCGAACTGAGCATCGACTCCAACAGGGAACAGAGGGAACTCATCCAAACCCTGGAAAACAAAAACAGGTTTGAAAAGACTTCTCTTTGGTTGCGTTTGATCGAAAACAGTTGATAATGCCCTATTTCTTACTCGTTTTTCAGGCTTCTTTTAAAAGAAATCCGTAGACTGCGTGACGAGCATGACGAAGCGTCAAAATCCGCTGCCCAGATAGCGCAAAACCCAGAACTCCTCGCCGAGTTGAAGTTACTAAGGCAACGCAAAGACGAACTGGAGATGCGCATGAGCGCTTTACAAGAAAGTCGACGAGAACTGATGGTTCAGCTTGAAGGACTGATGAATCTACTCAAAGTAAGTTCTAAAGCATCAGAATCGATAGAACGTGAAAACCAAGCGATGTAACTTCATGGCTGTCAGTCTATATACTCTTCACTGTCTTCTCCTACTCCTCCTCCTCCTTCTTCTTCTCTCTGATGCAACTGGTCTCTGATTATCTGGTCAAACCTCGTACTACGGTCATCCACGATGATTTCTCTWCATTCACAAACAATCTGATGCAACAATCATTAGTAACACTGACTCCAGACTTGCACCAGTTTTCAAGCTATTGGTAACATGGGCCTTTTGTGGGTTCCATAAACATGATGCATTGTGGTCTAGCTTGGGTACAAACACCATATAAGGCATAAAGAACAAAAGCGGTTCGTACCCAAGCTAGACCACAATGCATCATGCTTATTGAACCCACAAAAGGCCCCTGTTGACAATATAAAGCAGGTCGCCGCAATATGAACAAATGTTGTTCGCACCCATGCTAGACCATAATGCATCATGCTTATCAAACCCAAAAAGGCGCCTGTTGCCTATATAAGGCTTAACTTGCTTGTACCCAAGCTAGTCCACTATRCACCTTGTTCGCTATGTCCGAAAAGGTCCATTAACGTATATYTAGTTTATTGTGCATGCATATACARYTACCGAGAAAGACTCGCTATTCATAAACGAGAGTCAAAGTAACGTACAGATTAATRTTACGATCAACTCGATTTTACGGACACCCGTCAGTCAAGGACAGCTAGCCGTGCTGAGATATCCAAAGGGTATTCCGAAGAAAAAAATTTTCTCGTAAAATATTCCTGTTCGTTCCAAAAATGTTCCGAGGGTATTCCGAGGATTTCCCTGGAAAGAACTGAAAATCTCTCGAGCTGGTTCCGAAGATGTCCCTGGGGTATTTCAAGGATTTCCCAGAAAAGAACCGAAAAACCCCCGAGCTCGTTCCGGAGATGTCTCGGTGATATTTCAAGGACTTCCAAGAAAAAAATGAAAGCTTCCCGAGGTTATTCCGAAGATGCGGCGAAGGYATTACCAGGGTATTTAGATCGTTTCCTAGGAACATACAAAAAATATCCCGAGTTTATTCCGAAAATGTCCCGAGGGTMTAACCTATGATATTAAGTTGTCCTAGATTGTATACTGTGTTGTTGGTGTTCGTATTAACGAGGTTCGACTATAATCTGTACGTATGCATATCATATCTAATGCTTTTCCTATTTCACTCTGAAACACGATGTTTTCATTTAATCTTATTTCTATCCAGTACACTTATAACTACAAAGGATACAACCTTGGCGTTGAGTTTGCATTGAAGTGCATTGCGGGACTGTTCTAGGGGACGAKATAGCCGCCATCTTGAAAAAATATCATCTAAAACAGCCCCACAATKCACTGCAATACCAACTCGACCCAGGTTTTTCCTTAACCTCGGAATAGCTAATGAATAAGTTAAGAATATTTGGCTCTTACCACAGGAAGCCCAATAATAAATTACCGTTATCCATAATAACCAACAATTTATTTTTATGGTATAAATGAATTAATTATATCAATAATGCTAATAAATATCGTATAAAAGCTAAGTACTCTATGAATCTAACGTGTATATAAAATTATATTCTGGACACAGGGTGCYCAGCTCAGAGTTTATTAACGGCTAACAATTCTGAACTGGGGTTCCTGTGCGTTGTTGAATGGGGAGGGGCCGGGGAGATAGGGGAAAACGTTTTTCATAGATTTGTGAAATGTTATCAAACTYTGTCTTCTGTGTGTCAATATGTCTATTCGTTTTTCGCCTCGTGAGAGCTCTCAACGTAACTCGAACTGCTGCAGACTTCTGGCAATAAAACTAGATGTCTCCTTTAAAAGCTTGTAAAATTATTGCATTTTTGATTCCAAGCAAGAAAGTTTTCTTTTTATTTGCATTTACTTATGAAGCAGTCATTTTGTTATGACGTAGTATTTAATTATGACGTAATTTTTCTCATAATATCTTTTTAAAGTATTCCCTTATGACGTAGCCATTTTGTTATGACGTAGTATTTAATTATGACGTAGTTTTTCTCATAATACCTTTTTTAAGTATTCCCGTATGACGTAGCCATTTTGTTATGACGTAGTATTTAATTATGACGTAGTATTTAATTATGACGTAGTTTTTCTCAATACCTTTTTAAGTATTTCCTTATGACGTTGCCATTTTGTTATGACGTACCACTTTGTAATGACGCAGTATTTAATTATGACGTAGTTTTTCTCAGATCTTTTTAAAGWATTTTCTTATGACGTAGCATTTTCTCAAGGCGTAGAATTCGATGACTTAGTTTTTTCTTATGATGTTTAATGTGAAGTCATTGTTCGTGCATGCCATCGTGGGGTAAAACCACTGGTCCTTTCTCCAATCAAGTGCTAATGATTACTATTTACATATATATTAACAAACTTCAAACATGCTCTAATCAAACACAGCCTGGTACCGGCGGTGCAGGGGCAGAAGAAAGCATAACAAGTTGAAAGGGAGAAAAAGAAATGGTAAGAAAGTGAATGGGAGTAGAAATGAGAATGAGAATTAGAATAACATCCCACTATTTATAGACCGGCTAGCTCAGGTTTGGTCATCAGTCTGTAGCTTCACCGCCAAAGTCGGTCGTTAGGCGCTGGTGACGAGTGYTAAAGGCATGACGTCATATACTAATTACATAACAATTTTTGATCCAGTCGACTCTCCTTTCTCTTTTTTACGTGGTTGATGTCATGTGACGCAGAACAAAGTGGATTCCAGGGACTATCGTCCTTGGTTAAAGTTTGATGTTGATGTTAAAATTCTCAAATTCACCTTTAAAAAAAACCATAAGAAACGGTTTAGAAAAATATAAATTGAAAAACCCTGTCTCCCTTCAACAGTTTTCAATTCCTCCCTCCCCTTGTATGAATGTCCAATTTTTTTTTTTCTTCTTCAAAATGAAGCCTTCCCAGCGCCCCATGGGAAATATTTCAAARATACCCCTTGAAAGTGCCTCTAATTTTATCTTCCCTTCATTTTATAGTTATCCCATTTTTATATTCAAGTTCCCATTCATCCAGTTTTCTTACCCTTTCAACTACCCCCCCCCCCCCCCCCCCCCACACCCCGACCCCTCACTACTCGGTTTTGTATCTTACCTTGAACTTTTTCGCCATTTTCCCACTTTCCTGTCGGTTTTATTTTTTCCCATTTTCGCCATTCATTAATCCACTTTGTTCTGTCTCTTGCAGGCAGAAAACCTGTGACGTCACCAGGTGGAAGAGAGAGGAATGAGTCTAGCTAGAGATAGACAAATAGCCATATCTAAACTTAAGCGAAATTAATTAATCCTCCAGATTAAAGCAACAAAATTTATAGCCGTGCACTTTCAATTCACCAAAATAACCAAACTACTTCAAATAAATCAAAATAGAATATCATAATAGCCACTAACAATTGTATTATAAAATTGGTCAAAAYTTCCTAAAGTATTATATTAAATGGAATTTCGAGTCACGTGTGACGTTATACTAAGTCACGTGATCTGCGTCAATGTTTTAAAACAAAAGCCTTGACAGAAAAGCGATACTATTAAAAATAAATAATGATAAATTAATAATAGATTAATAATTTGAATATCATATAATTCGTATCATTTACTCAAGGATATTTTCCGCGAAGAATTTAAGGATTTACCAGCATGCTCTGCGCGATATTTTTAACGACTGCAAAGCATGATGGTTTTTGTTATATGGCTTTTCAGATTCGTTAACCTTGATACCAATAAATTGTTATACATGATAGCGAACACTGTCTTGTGCTAGAACAATCTCATTCCCAGGTCCTCCAGCGCCTTTCTCCGTTGTCGTCAGCACCAGCCCGCTGACCAAAAAGCCGTAAGACTTCTAAGCTAGGTCTTGTAAGCAGAAAAAGACTTTCTAGTGTCCAGGAATAACTCTGTTAGTTATGACCAAAAGTGAACTGGAACAATGATCTCTTATGCTCGTGTTTGCGTCGAGTCTACACCGTCTTCGCCATTGTGTCAATGACGTCATAGTCTACTRATTACGTCATCACAAACTTTTCACACTAGGACTTTTTTTCTCGTTATAGCTATATTTTTATTTCTTATTTTATCCAAAAGATCATCATGTCTGTTGACACTTAGATACATCGTTTACTAGACGTGAAAAGAGTGACCACATCGATATCTTGGGAGTCAAGACCTATTAGTCAATGTCTCGAGTGAAAACAAGACTACAATGGAATCAGTGTCCTGTGAATATCTATTAGACTAATATCAGTCTATTTTACCATACTCGAGCTTTTCGACACTCCAACTTCAAAATKTAATAACTTCTTAACAAAGCAAAAATTCAACAAACAAACAATCCTCCAACTGTTTTGTAGTTTATCATTTGGTATTTGACGTAGTGTAGTTCTCTAGAATATACAGGATAATAGCGCCATATTCATTAATCCATATCTACGGAACGTGCCGGATTTGAGTTCAAGGCCTGATTTGCGTTTAAGGCCCCGACATCATTTAAAAATAGTGTTATTTTGCGAAAGCAGGAAAAMAATTCTGCTCGTAGATGCTGAGCCCAGTAATCGAACCCAAGGCGGAGTCCTTCAAGTTTTGTCATTAAAGATATAACGTCTGTATTCTTCGTTGTCCTCCAGAGGATAGATCTCTTTGAGCTTGTCCTTTGGCTATCATCACCTCAGGGGTAGATCTAGGGTAGGAGTGCAGGAGATTCGCACCCCCACCCTCCCCCCCCCCTTCCCAGATGAGCTGATATCTAATGTATTATTCGTGCTTAAGTTTGTCGCAACGTCCTGATCATAAATGTTGATCTCCTAAAAATCCCGCACCCGTCATCTTCAAATATCGTGATTTTTTTTTGTATAAGGATRTTTTGATAAATAGGAACCACAGTTTTAAGATCTAGACATGCCGCGGCTCAACTACAGCCATCGTCAGTGTTTTGCATATATTTGGCATCATGTATAGCTTGTAGTATCTACAGTTTATGTGCATGTCTGGCCCTTTGTGTTATGACGAGCTAGACATGGCTGACAGTGTATTGATACCTACTCTAGCCAAGTTACACCAGCTCTATAAGGTGTCACCTCTGYCATTTGTTTGTTTAATAGACCCCTTGCAACACGTYGTAATGCAGCTCAATTTGGAGGACATAACAATAGGTTTCCAATTCTCAGGAGATTGAAATTCTTTTGTTTTGTCCTCCAAATTGAGCTCCTTTGACGTCACATGAAAGGGATCTCTTGTTTTCAATGTTGGACTGGCTGCTCTGGTCTATCTCAGTGGTCTAAAGTGAGTGCGAGTTCTGTGTCTCTTAATATAACAGACATACAGTATCTATCCATCGTATATGTAAATGTAAAACCTCGAACAAGCAGGAATTATTGCTCAATCTCTTGAACTAATGACTCGGTGTAGCATATTCGACGCCATGATTGAAGCTAAAAATAGGTTTCTGATGTACTGCACTACTTTGTTTCTTTCTTCCTTCCTTCCTTCCTTCCTTCCTTCCTTCCTTCCTTCCTTCCTTCCTTCATTCGTTTCTTTTTTTCTCTCTTACTTACTTACTTWCTTTCTTTCTTTTTTTCCTTTCTCTCTTTCTCTCTCTCTGACTCTAATTCTTTTTCACATAATCACATGACGAAAAACGCCTTTCTTTAACTTTGAAAGAAAAAATAGTCAACATACAGGTCTTTCCTTATCCTTTTTAGGATTAAATTCATTGGATAAACATCTACCCAACCTCGTTAATCGGCATTTCCACTTCAACCCCCCCAAATCGTTTTATTTTCTCATTAAGCAAGCCAATTTAAAACTAATCATTCGAACTAACTTCGAGCCGAATGTCCTAAATGACCAACCCATTCGACCGATTTATATGGCTACGATACTCGCGATGAACCAATATCTCTTCCAGTACATAATACAAACAATTAACTTACTCCAACACTCCAAAAAAAAAACCAACGCTTTCTCTATTTAAGTACAACCTTCTTTCTTTGAAATTTAGAGAAAATAGGATATTTCCTGTGCAAACAAAGAAATAGTTCGTGGGTAAAGACGTAGCAACTGCGAAGGGAAATGCAGTAGAATAGAACAGCTTTTAGCGTCTGTAATTCAAAGTTTTTAAGATAATTTAAGTGTTCCATTTGATGTGATACTGGACCCCTTAGTGTGGGATTCTGCTGTTATGGACAATGGAYCAAGTGGTCCGTGAATTAGGGGGCGGAGAATTCGCTCCTTCAAAACAGCCATTAATGCCTCTTTTTATGTTTAACCTTGCACAATAGAGCTACCACATAAAAACCTCTCCTCTTTTCTGCAAGGCGCATTACTCGTCCTGAGCTCATCCAGACATCTGGCCTCGAAAATACYTCACAACTTGAAAATGCTTCTTCGAATCCGCGAATCTTTTACAGAATTTACTGCAAACATGACTCTYTACAAACCGCTCGTCTTCATCAGTCTGTTAATGATGTTTTCAAATTCGTATTTTTTCTGGRACTGGCTTGGAATTGATTTTAAGGCACCGTGTGTTTCTTGTACTGTGATGTCGACCTTTGATTCCATCAGAGGCTCAAGTTGTCAAATTAATCCTTCCAAAWTTRCACAATTCAGCTTTAAGGTACGATCTTTACAATCTGTAGTATATTTTTCTTTTCTTTTCTTTTTTTTTCTTTTTTTCTTCTTCTTTTATTTATTTATTTATTTATTTATTTATTTATTTATTTATTTATTTATTTATTTATTTATTTCTTGGAATTTTGGTGTATCAAGGCACACTTTTCTTTAAGGCTTCTCTTTTCCGTTCTTCATAACTAAATATTCACTTAAGACACACCTAACTCACTAACTCAAATGATGTTAACTTTTTTACATTTTATAGATATTTCTTTTTGTTCTAGCTGTCTGTCTGTCTGTGTTTTTTTCCAATTCTCATAACTTTTTCTCAACTTTCCTGAATCTCTTTTCTCATCAGTAGTTTTCCAATCTCTTTTTTCGAATCATTCTCTTTTTTCATCACTAGATTTTCGTTCCATTTTGAAACGAAAAAACTTCATATTCGCTAAAACAACGCGGCCAAAATCTTGTACTATTCTGTTTTGTGAAAAAGAAATCATTCAAAAACGTTTTCGTAAATTAGAATTTAATAACAATAGACTTTTCATTTTGGCGCTAAAATACGGGTCATCAAACTTGCTTCAAGTTAGTGCGCTTGGTCAATTGCGTTATGATCTAAAAAACAAACTTAAGTAACAGATAAKCGTATATAATCCTATTAATTCTGTTACTAGCTATTTTTAGCTCCAATATATCCGGTATTTCAAGCAATTTTTTAATCGTTTCCTTTTCGAGATGCTTTGACGTTTTTTATGAATAGTTTATCATCATTGTTTACAACAGAATGTTGCTTAATTGTTAAATCATGATGACTTGATCCTCAGTGGCTCGTTAGAGTTTCTAAATTTAGTCTTGTTGTTTGAACTGATATGACGTAAGTTTGGTTTTACAACCTYTTTTTAACGTCAATACGAGGTGGGAGAAAAGGTTACTGAACTAAGAATTTCTTTATTTTTAAGGCTTGGCATCTTTATCAGAACATGTTTTGAATTCGTTTTGTTTTCGTTATTTGGTGTTCGTGATTTTGCGTGATTGAAGTTTCGTGTACTCAGTAATTATCTTACACACGTATCTAGGATATTTGAAACGATTTGCACGCGAACATCGTAAAATCACACGATCGCACGAAACGCAAAAGAAGCCATTTCAATGTTACGGCATTTCGTACCCACTCATACGATAACCTTATGGGAAGCCATTTCAATGTTACTTCAAAAAAGCCATTTCAATGTTCGTTACGGCATGTCGTACCGTGTACGTACTGTAAGTCAGTACCGTACGTTTCTCACTCATGCATACGATAATCATTCTTATGGAAGCCACTTCAATGTTACGGCATGTCGTACCGTGTACTTGCTGTAAGTCAGTACCTTACGTTTCCCACTCATACGATAACCATTCTTATGGGAAGCCACTTCAATGTTACAGCATGTCGTACTGTGCACGTGCTGTCAGCATAGTTAATAGAGGTTCCCCTCTATTAACTATGCTGTCAGYCACTACCCACATACTTCTTTTAAGCCATTGCATTGCKATCTCCATGGAAACATGAATTTGACACGTTCATGACTTCATYCWCAACAACAACACGTGAGGCMACTATCATGGYGCGTTATCTAGATTAGTACTCTCAAATTATTTCCTGATTTCAGGGACGTAAAACAAAGAATCTATAATCCCTCATTCACATTCTTCTTACCTTTTTGTCTAGTAATTCTATTTTTATCTCATTTGAATTAAGTCGATGGATTTAATCAGTCAGATCCCTCGCGGAAGGAGGAAGGAAATCCGCGAACAGAGGACGCAGAACCAGGGGTTTATACTCTACGGATGGCAATCGGAAATAAATTGATATTTCACGGTTGTTGACTAAACCGCGTTACAGTTGACCGCCACATCATGGCAGGAGACTATCAATGAATACTTTTATTCTAGTAATCAGCCTACGAGATTTATCAGTCTTTGTCATTAGTGAATAGAGCGTTACTGTGTTGAAGTCTAAGTAAAGTATTGATGTATTTCGAGGAAAAAATGTATGGGCTACAATAGGTAAAACATGTTGCTTAATTAGCCTGGTTTTGGCTTCTAAAGACTCGTTAAACTTTACCAAAGTTTCAGCGAGTACGTTTCCATAAGTTCACCATAAGTTGTAAAAATTGTTATCTATTAGCCCACTTTGATTTACTTTAATTTCGTAGAGATYTTTTTCCTTAGCCCGTCAAACAAAGTCGTATAATTTGTGATGAACAGTCAAAGTGAAACAAAAGAAAACAATGGAATTAGTGTGTACAACTATGTTAGTATTATGCTTACTATATCTTCACGGGTCAAATAGAATCACTCTAACTCACACCTCACACACATATCTCTAAAGATTACAATGAATATATTTTGTGTTCTTTTTATCAATAGGCTGGCTCACCTCGAACTGCTCGAAGCCCTAAATCCTCGGCCAGTTCTGATGTGTTTGCCAAGGCTCCTGACACGCCCTTGTCCCCAGATTCCAAGCAGCTGAGCGGGGTTGATGGAGATATCAAAGATGCGTTTGGTGATAGGACAGTGGATACTGGTGGTCAGCGTAATCTCAGACATGACTTGCTATTGGCTGCTGATTCCGTCACCAACGCCATGTCGTCGCTTGTCAGGGAGCTCAATTCAGGTACGTTTTGCTTTTTTGTTCTCTCTGTTTTTGTAAGTACCTGTCTACAAGTCTATCTATTTATAGGTCGATCTACCTGTCTACAGGTCTATCTATAGATCTGTATACCTGTCTGTAGGTCTACCTGTCTACAGGTCTATCTATWGATCTGTATACCTGTCTGTAGGTCTACCTGTCTATAGGTCTATCTATAGGTCTGTATACCTGTCTGTAGKTCTACCTGTCTACAGGTCTGTCTATAGGTCTGTATACCTGTCTGTAGGTCTGTCTGTCTGTAGGTCTACCTGTCTATAGGTCTRTCTATAGGTCTGTATACCTGTCTGTAGGTCTACCTGTCTRYAGGTCTGTCTATAGGTCTGTATWCCTGTCTGTAGGTCTACCTGTCTAYAGGTCTGTCTATAGGTCTGTATACCTGTCTGTAGGTCTGTCTGTCTATAGGGTCTCTAGGTCGATTTACCTTTCCGGTATTTTTGTCTTTTCTATATATTGATGCATTTCGTATTTGTTCATTTATTAGAAGATGAAGAGGATAACATTACCTTAACAACAAAGAACGGTACACCAGAAATAGACCTTGACGTCCTCGAGTACCAGGTCAATCAGATGCGTGAATCACTTCGAGCAAGTGRTGCCCAGGCTCCCAAGAATGGCAGTCTAGCTAACGGCCGTGGTGACGTGAATGGTCAGAGGAAGGTTCATAAGAGGCCCTTACGGCGAGGAGACAGTGATAGGACTGATACTGATACTGATGATGATGAGTTGCACATGCGCACTGGAGAGC